ATTCCAGATGTTAATAATTTGTATAAAACTCAGCTGGACTATAGAGTAAACTATTTCGGTTAACAATGTAATTAATAATTTCATAAAACATAAAATGTGATTTTTCACACTTCTGATGTGCAGCCCAGTAAACTTTTACCAAACTTCCACATATAAAATACTTCAAACCCTAAGAATATTTCAGTCAATGCCTAATATTTTCAAATAATTAGTAATATGTAATTGCAATCATTAATTTCCTCAGTATACAAAGTATACACATCTTTACTCGTGACTCTGCAGTAGGACATATATTTTGAACACAAACTGAAAATGTCTGAGCACTTTGTTCTTAACTCTCCTAAATATTGTAAATATAGAAAATAATAATATCTGGAATTTATTTTTCCATTTATTGTATAAGGGATTCATCACCTTTCAATGAATATAGTGCTTTAATTTTTGTATGGAACCTCTACCCAGGCTTAAATTGGCATTTTATGTGTGTGTGCCTAACAACTGATTTTCAATAAAGAAAAAGAATAAAATCAAGAATAAATATTCAAGAATAAATCAAGAATAAATATTCAAGAATAAATCAAGAATAAATCACTTTGGGCAGATTCTACTGTTGTTTTTCCTGCTGGCTTTGTTCTAGCTTTCATTTTCCTGGGGAAAATTTTAATATTGAGAATATTGAGGGCCAAATCTTTTAAGACATCCCCTAAGTGCACACACAATTAGATATCCTATGCTCATATAATTACACCAGTAGTTATTTAGACAACTCACGTTTGCCTGATTTGAGCACACAGTTGGAGCTCGTGCTAAAGGCAGGTGCATACTTTTTTTTTTACAGTAGCACAACAGGTTTATAAAAAAGGTTGTGATACTTCGAGTACTTTGTGAATCCTGCCTGCACTCCTACACCTTCAACATATAATTTGCTGTAATTCGTTATGTTGTTCCATCTCCCACTTTTGTGTGTGCTCTTACATAAAATACATAGCATTCTAAAGGCAGAAGATAATGTATTTCCATGTATTTCTAGTGGTTGGGTCATTGTGATATATGCAGACTGACTGTAGATGGCTGTTATGATTTCTAAATCAAAAGCTGTATCCTGTACTGAAAAGAAATATCGTTTCAGCACTGAGCTGTTGGAGGTATTCAAAGCATGACATCGCTAGACAAGCACTGGATACCTGACTGATTGTTTTCCTTAATGTCATCAAGATCTGCCATAACATAAAACAAATGTAAGCAGAGACGCATGGAAAGTCATGATCTCAAACAGAAAATGAAGTGATCTGATTGAAATTAAAGTCTATATGGACATACAAGGAAATCTGCTTGTGTCTTAGTTTTTTTGTCCCATTTTTTCTTTTAAATCTACTAATATTTAACTTCTTAACTTAAGAGCAACTTAAATTGCTCTTTCTACTTTAAGCATTCTGTTATAGCAAGAAATTTAAATACATTGCTGTAAAACACTATCATCAGCAGGCTAGAACCTACTTTGGTCTCCCTCTTTTTTAAACCAAACATCTGCGAATCAAGAACATCCGTAGACTGGCATGGAGTTGAGATTCCCTCCCTAAGCATCTTTGGCAAAACCACATAGATGGACTGATTATCTTATTGCAAAATGGCCTACAAAGGAAAAAAGTTCTTCTCTGGAAAAAAAGGAGGATTATAAAAGATGACTTTAGAGATTAGACACAATATATTCATTATGTAATTTGTACTAAACTTAGCAAATTTTATTCCTGCTTCACATTTACAGGTGCATTTCAAATTGATCATCTTCCTCCCTATGCTGTTCTGGGATGCATGATGCATGTCAAATGGTGCTAGTTTTATTTTCCCAAGACTCAGATTCAAGTAATAATGCTGTTTCAGCTAGAATTGTATTATGGAGTATGCCCCTAGTTTACCCTTTTTATTTTGTACTGGAGATCCCAAATTAAAGCTTGGGTACCTAGTGCATTATCAGTCATAATTAGAAATTATACAATTGAACAGCGGCTTAGGACACATAGCACTTCACTTGATCTTTAAATAGTTGCATAAATATATAGATTGCAGATTGTCTTGAAAGCAAAATGAGTTCCCTAGTAGCAGGTGGTCTTCTCAAACAGGCCATGTTCCTTCAGGACATTTAATGATGAAATGGCCAGTGCCAAGCAAACAGAGGATTTACTGGATTTCCCCAAACGTCTTTATTTAAGAGAGTCTGCATGTCTTTTTGATTAAGCTGATCTCAAACACATGCCAGCAACTCAGAAATTCCAAGTCCTTTGTCTCATGTGAACTGCTACCGGTTTGCAGAGAAACGTGCTGAGAACAATCGTTCCATTTCCTACGGAGACAAATATACCGGCCACCTGCCAGGCCGCACACTCGGCCGGCTCACCGAGCTCTGCAGCTGGGGCACACAGGGAACTGGGAACGGGGGGCCTGAGCACGGCTGGGTGGTGCAACACCGGCCCCAGGACCCGCCAACACTGCTTGACATAGCCCTTAGCCTTTTCCTTCACTAGGCATTAATTTTGACGACAATATCAACAAGGAAGATTCCCCAGCGGTTTGAATCCGACCTGCTCACTTCCAGAGAGCAGCGTATTCAATACACCTTGAATGATCTCATTTTAACCTGACTCCTCCCCCCC